ATGTAGAAATAGATATCTATCAGTTATCTATGTAGAAATAGATATCTGTCTATATCTATATAGAAATATACCTTTATCTATCTATCTTTCCATCTGTCTGTATGAATATATTGCTTCTCTCATAAAGTAAGATCTTTGAGAGTTACGATATTTACTATTAAAAAAGCAAGATGATGTCTTTACTCAGGGAGAGAAAATGATTGCTGTTAGTATCCAAAAGAAAAACGTTGAAAGTAAGTTGGATGGATACTATTCAGTAAAACATAGATTTCTGATTAAGAGAAAGACAAGGAGGCCTGCTACTCAGACACGGGCTCTGTGCCATGAAAGGTTGTGTAAAGTTTTTCTCTGTGAATTTTTTTAAAGAACTCCTCATGTTCTAGAGGGATGTGAGGAGACAGGCCTTGTAGCAGGGATCTCAGATGTTTAACTAGCAGTCTAATTAAGTAGATTTTAAAATTTAAAAATGATGCTATACCGTAAGTAGAGAAACTCTAGGAATTGTGTTCACGGTGACAAATGCTTCTACACTGAACACAGAGACTCCCCAGGAAAGGTGAGTTGCTGTGATTTTATGGGGCAGGAGCTATTTTTCCCTTTCAGGCTGCTGAATCATGGCTGGTCCTTCCCCTAACAGCTTAAGAACTGCTGAATTGGCACAGAACGGTGACTGCAGGAGGCTATCATGGAAATGGAGTTTGTATTGACTTTTTTAAGGCTAGTACTTTTGTATTATATGATAATTACTTAGCTAGAAGTATATGAAAACAAACTAATGAATATTTTCCATGCCCTCACCCAAAGGACTTTTCATATAGAGACTAGTCAAAGACCGTATAAATTTGGTAATATGATGTCTGCAATTAAACAAAAATTTAAAGGAATCTTCTCATGTTAATTTAATTCATGTTATTTTAATTCATTTTTTTCTGATCTGATCTGATTTGATTTGATTCGACTTAGAACCAAAATTTCTTTGTAGACTTCCCATTGAGGAACTTCCTCTCAAGAAAGACCAGTCAACACCTTCTCTGCCACTTAGAGTCTTGGAGAGTTCATGTGCTGCACTGAGAGGTTAAACAGATGACTTCCATAGAGTCACATACCTTGTATCAGAGGCAGAGCTTAACAAGACTGACTTATTCTCCACAATGCGAGTTTTATTGTTGTTACTCAGTCATTTGTCTGTCGTGTCTGACTTTTTGTGACCCCATTTGTGGTTTTCTTGGCAAAGATACTGCAGTAGTTTGTCATGTCCTTCAGGTCATTTTACAGATGACGAAACTGAGGCAAACAAGGTTAAGTGACTTGCTCAGGGTCATATAGCTTGTAAATATTTGAGGCAGGATTTGAACTCAGGTCTTGCTGACTCTAGGCCTGGCACTCTATCCACGGCACCTCCTAGCTGTCCCCCTCCCGCTTAAGCCAGACTGCATCTCAAAAAAATGTTTTATAAAAATGTAAATATTTAATCTTTTCTAGAAATGTTTTAAGGAGGAGGAGTTTGACGTATAAATAAGGTGAGAGGAAATAATAAATCATTGTCCCAACTCAGAATTCATGTTGAATTTTCTACCTGGTGGGAAAGTCTTCACATTTGTCATGATAGTGGTGCTGCCATCATAATTCAATGTTTTGTTTTCTTTTGTTTTTCTTTTCCCATCTGTTGCAGGTATGGATGCAAGAGGGTCTAGTTCAACAGTCTGGAATGCTTATCCATTCTTATCAAGCTGCATCACCATATTTCCCATATTTCTTGTGAAGACTCTTTGGTGATACTGATTTTCATTCGCTAAGAAATTGATTGGTTACACCGCCCCCCTACCTTTAAAAAAGTGCTTTCTTGATATACAGTGATTATGCATGGTTTTCTCCAATTCTCTGTTTTTAAGTATTTTCTATTTCACTGTAGGTTAAAGATATAAATACAATTTTGTAAAAGATTCAGTAAATCCTTTTAGAGGAATCTGAAATGCCTTAATACTTACTTGATGAACCAAAGGAATTTACATATTGCACCCTTCAGATTTTTTTCAAACAACATGATTATGTGAAGAATCCAAGCATTGCCTAAGAATGGAGGCTCATGAAAACTCAAATCTTCTTTAACTTAAATGAAGCTCTATTTTTCCAATAATCATATTGTGGTTTGATAATTTCATCAGGTGCTATGCCGACTCATGAACTGTAATCCACAGAGAGAATGCTATTTGTATGTATTTCCTAGAATAGCCAGGGATTAATTTAATCTATTAAGAATCATGTGTTTGCAAATTACAATTTGTAAAGCTCCCATGCTTTGAGCTTCATTATATTTTGGAAGATTTGAGACCACATCAAATGGGGTACCCCTACCCATGTTGGGGATCTCAACACATCTATGTCTGCTTATCCTGAGCAACTCATGTCCATGGAGAAGTGGGTAAAACATATTATGCAATGTGTTAATTATTCACTTGGTCATTTTATAAAATGGGAGTCTCTATAATATATGTTTTCTCCTTGAGGAATTTTTCATTCCTTCCCCTTGCACAGTGCTTCAAAACAAAAGATCTCGAAAATGGAGAATGTCTTGATTATAAACTAAAATATTAAACGAAACTATGTTCTGCATTCTTAACTTCTGTATTTACTGAGCTCATCATTCTATCAAAGCACATTTCACAATTGCTATACTTTTCACTTAATGTTTTAATGAGATTGCAGCAATGCTGGAGATTTTATTATGTGTAACTGACAAGAGCTTTCAACATTGATTAAAAAAAGTTCTAGGCTCGTTTTCCTAGCAATATGTAAAGAATATGTAAAAACGAGCACATACAGTTATGACCATTTCAAAAACAAAATTTTCTGCTGATATTCCATTTCACAAGGTTTTTTTTTCTTCTTATTTTTACTTCCACGGATATCAGAATTTGAAAATAGGAGAAAAATTTCAAGAATAAGGGTTAGTGAAATTCTGATATCACTGTGAAATATCTCCATCTGCTCTTAGAGATTAAATTTAAGAGAAAGTTATTGTATAAAACAGAAAAAAAAAAGATTCGCAACTTTCTTGCAAGGTTTGTATATACTGTATATACCCAGAAAAATATAAATGGCTGGTAGCTTTTCATATGGTCATAGTTGTTTCCTACAGGTCACAAATTGGGAAAACAATATTTCCCAATCAATCTGTATTTCCTGCCACATGTAAGAAGGTTGTAACTTTTTAAAAATTATTTTAGTAATTACTATAAAACATTCATGTATTTCCATTCCTAAGATGGCTATCTTATTGTTTCATTTAACTCCTAGTTATATATCTCTGTGAGATATGTACCAACTATCTTGTTTCACATTGAAAAGTATGCAATTTCTCCTTAAACTGCTGTGTGTGTATCCTATGGTTATCTGTATTTATTATTTTCTATTATTCTAATAAAATTTATAACACTGGAAAATGCTGGGACATTTTAAAGTATGTGAAAGTACAGACTCTAGCAATGAAAAGCAGAATATATAAAAAGGTCAAAAGTGGAATTAGTATATATCCTAATGGCTTTGCCTGGTTATAGTATCATTCCTTGTATTTTCCTGACATTTTGATTTTTTCTTTCTTTTTAAAAGTATTTTAATACGCTTTAAGCCATGTCTCAATACTTGCTTGATCGACCTTCCTAATAAACACATTTGTTTTTTTAGTCAGTGATCTTTGTACTTTCAGCCTTTTTACATTTTGGAGCAGAACTATGGTGTTCAATTTACTCCCTCTGAGGTGACTTAATTTATCATGCCTTGTCTTGGTCTTCTTAGTGTTATGTTAACATTATAATTAATTTCAGCTTATAAAATCCCTGGAGGCAGTCAGATGGCACAGTGGATAGAATGCTGAACTTGGAATAAGCAATAGTTGTTAATTGACTTTGGTCATTAAGCTCTCTGAGCCTCAGTTTCCTTTTTTGTAGAACAGAGGTAATAATAGCACATAATAATAGTGTTGATTGATGATGGCAATAAGATAGCTTAAGTAGTGCTTTAAGATTTGTAAAATACTTTACAAATATTCTCTTATTTTGCCCTAGTAACAACTCTGGAAGTTAGGTGCTGTTATTAAGTGTTGTGAAGATCAAATGAAATAATTTAAAAGCAAAGTGTTTGTAAACCATTGTGCTATATAAACATTAGCTAAACCCCTCACCAGGGGTTTCATTGTCTGCCTTTAAAGTTATATGCACTTTCCATTGAAGATTGCATTAATATGCTTTTTTAAAATCAATATTGGAAATGTCAGAAAGTAACAGGTACTCACATCACCACTCTGATGTATCTGTGATGTCACTAAAGTGAGAACTTTCTCCAACAGGGCAGATCTCCATCCATCCATCCATCTATTCATCCATCCATCCATCCATCCATCCATCCATCCATCCATCCATCCATCTATCCATCCATCCATCCATCCATCCATCCATGCATGCATGCCTTCTTATTCTGCACAACTCTTGTGCTTGCTTTTCTGTAGACTTCCAATAGAAGCCCACCCAATGTACTGGGACCCTGTTCATCAGCTCTCGCTCAATCTTGCTATATGTCTGACCAGCCCATATTATTTTACTTTGTGATTGTGACTTTCTTTAGTCTGTGTCTCCTGCATATTTATTCATTCTTAAGTTTCACTTTAAAATTTAATTTAAATTTCACTTTAAAATTCTTCATTCTTAAAGTTTTGCTTTGGCTTATTTATGCCAAGCATAGGTTTTTTTTTCCCCATTGTCTTTTTAATGATCCAATTTTTTAGAAACATAGTGTTCCATAATTCATGTCCACACAACATCATTGTACAGTTATTTAAAAGTATGTTGGCCCATGCTCCAGGGAGAAGCATGGAGTCTTTAAGGGAAACTTGGAGTTTTCAAAGGATCATTCAGTATGCTCTCTTCCTCTTCAATTCTGGACTGGCTAGCAACAAGCATTTTTTAAGCGCTTGCTGTATGCTAGGCAGTGTGCATAGTGCCCGGGATACAAATATACACAAGAGGACAAATAGTCCCTGCCCTTAAGGAGCTTCCATGAGAATGTAAAAACAATAGGTAAAAAGATGCTGGAAAAAGGGGGGAAAGGAAGGAGAAATTGAGGTAGGTACCTAAACATAGGGGTGTGGTAGAGAAATCCAGAAAGCCAAAAGTGGAGCTGGGAGGGGAATGAAGCATGGCCTTGGTCTGTGCCCATCCACAGTGTATGCCAAAGAGGCATGGAGAACCAGAACCTTGGGTTGTTCATCCAAGTACAAACCATGGGCTGGGCAACTGGAATTCTTCCATCTCCTTGGGGTTTTTATTTTTATTTTTCCTAGAAAAAGACACACATATACATACACACACACACACACACACACACATACACACACAACAAGGGCTTTCTAGGACAGATAATTCTTTAACTTAAAATGATTCAGTCTGGTTGCCCAACAAGAGGACCGGATGATGGAGTGAATATAAGCTCACATAAGGCAGCATGTTTTCTGCTATACAATTTTGGGGGTCAGTTTGTTACTCTGATGACAGGGAAGGTAACAGTTTTAGCTAATATTTGTATAGCACAGCCAGGCACTGTGCTAAGTGCTTTATGCTTATTATCTCATTTCGTCTTTGCAACAACCCAGAGAAGTAGGCGCTATTATTATCACCATTTTATAAATGTGGAAACTGAGGCAAACAGAGGTTAGGTGACTTGCCCAGGTCACAGCTAGGAAGTATCTGAAGCTGGATTTGAATTCAGGTCTTCCTGACTCCAAGACTAGAGCTCTATCCATTGTACCCCCTAGCTTCGTAAGGTAACTTTAAGGCAAGTAACACACACATACACACACACATACACACATACACACACACATACACACACCCCTTATTAGATAAATATTAGATATGCACATGTAGATCTGTATATTTATGTATATGTGGATCTATATTAGATTGCACATATACGGATCTCTATATAAATACATATATATATGTCTAATGTATATCTAATAAGGAGATCTCCTAGACTTATTTAAGTGACTGACCCACTGGGGGAGTCTTTTATGCCTTCCTATAAAACAGAAAACATTTGCTGCAGTATATGAAGTACAGGCCTCAGAGTCAGGAAACCAGTATTCAATTTGACCCTGAAACTATTACTGGATACTAATGGGCAAATGGTGGCACCGTGGTACATAGCTGGCACTGGAGTCAGGAAGGCTCATCTTTTTATGCTCAAATCTGGACTCTGACATTTACTAGCTGTGTGACTCCGGGCAAGTCACTTAATGTTGTTTGCCTCAGTTTCTTCATCTGTAAAATGATCTGAAGAAGAAAATGACAAACCATGCCAGTATCTTTGCCAAGAAAATCCCCAATGGGGTCACCAAGAATCAGACATGACTGAAACAACTGAACAACAACAGTGGGCAAATGACTCAACTTTTCTGGTTTTGTCTCCTATTCTGTAAACTAAAGAAGTTAGATCAAATGATCTCTAAGGTCCCCTCTATAGTCTTCTTTTTTAACTAGGTGAAGTTGGAAAGAAAGTTAATATTCTGAAATGCCTCAGATAGATTGTTTTTGGAATATCTTTTCCAGTCATTTGATTATTAAACAGAGAAAGAAAGAATAGAACCTCTAGATTTTTATCGTTACTCTTTTTCAGTTTGAAGCCCTGGCTTTCTGATTACATGGGAAAAAAGAACTCACTGTGAGTAAACTTTCTCTGCTGGTCAAGATCAATACCTGCTCTGCAACTTATAGGCATAGAGAATTGCCAGAGCCATCAAGACCTTGAATGGATTGCCCAGAGTCCCTCAGCCTGTATGTGATAGAG